AAAAAAAAAAAAGAATGCAGATATAATGGTTACAACCCTGGTGTTGAAGAGAGACAAGGATCCAGAGGCTAGAAAAAAATATGACCATGACACTAACATACCTAGTTTTGAGAATTGAGATTGACTATCTAGTCCTTGTAATTTAAAAAGTTTCTCTTAGATTCTTGAACTTTCTATTTTGTCCCAAAACTTTGTTAGTTTGCTTTTCCGATATATTGGTATGTTGGTTGTATTATTTAAGGATACGTGATGGATTGATTTTAGGTCGGTACTGATAAACTAATATAATAAAGTTAACTCGATGACTTGCTAGATACAAAATAGAAAGTTTCGGGACCTATTATAAACCTTTTAAAATACAGAGACTGTATAGACACAGAACTTGAAAGTTCAAATCGTCATCTTCGAAATCTGAAAATTCCTGAGATATTGTATGGACTCTTGCATGATCGCTTGTGGAGTGCACTCCATAGGAGAGAGAAGTTTATTCCTCTTTGGTTTTGAATCTCTGTCCACGAAATCTTCATTTTCCTTTTCGAGAGTCTCAAACAGATTGACTTGCAGCGATTTAAAAGCCAAGGGCTTCTCAGATTCGTTTCTTAATTGAAGATTATCCTTTCTTCGAGTGGTAGGGGAGGAATAAGACCTTTGGCATTCTTCGTACCTTTTGGAGTACCACACCAAATGGTTTCCCCATTTAACTCTTGAAGAACACCCGAAACATTAATGTGATAGCTTCATGGGAATCGAGAGCAACAATTGTCACCAAAAGGTCATCAATACTAGATGCTTGCATGATCTTTGTAGCAGGCAGTATATCACCTTGACAGGCTGGGAGTAAATTAGGAACCATTGGCGCGCGTGTAAACGAGGTGCTCTACCAACTGAGCTTTAGCTTTTTTACCATAAAATATTGGACGCTTGCATGAGTTTCTTACGAGTTTCAGTCATAACTTCATTTAACTCCTTAACCTCTACTTCAATACCGCCACCAGCATCATCTAAGATATCAAGAGAAGACATTTCCCCTACCACGCCCTTTGCTGAAAGGACCCAAGAAAGATTCCTTTTCCAAATTGAGAATATATTTAGGGTTAATCAAAGAACCATCTTTACCAGAGGGCCCATCAATCAACCCTTTCAAATTCTTATCCAAAGCGATGGAGTCAACCCTTGAAATAAATGCTTTTTGTCTTCTAACCTTTTCACCCTTTAAAAAAGGAAGCATACCTTTCTGAGATTTATCATCTTCTGCAACTTTCTGCATTCTTTGCATGTCCAAAGAGTTTTAAGAATTCAACAGCGACGGCTGATTGAAAGAGCAACCAGGCAACAAAGCATCTTCATTAACAGCTTCCACTCGGACAACAAAAATCCCAGTTTTCGTAATGATCTCAATATACGCAGGGATGAAACCACAAACATTATTTTCTACTTGAATCAATGCTACTGAGCAAAATAGAAGATTTAGGATTTGTCGAGATATTCTTTAGACCACCCCAGTGAGTACCAATGGCTTGAAAACAATGTTCATTCCAAAAATTTTAAGGCAAGTCCCGAATCTTCACTCAACCTCCATTGCAAAATTCAACTTCACTTCTACTGTTCTCACTAAAATTCTATTTTTCCAATTTCACATGAAAATTTCTGATCTTTCGCCATTTCCCATTGAGCCATTTTGGAGTAAAAATCCTTCCATCCTCAAATTTTAACAATGCCATGTCTGCCAGAATGGATTTATTGGACAATCGAGTGAAAAAGTTTCCTTTAATGTAGTAGTGAGATCTTTCTACTTATCATGAGAACAAAGCCCGAAATGACCATCACATTATCTCAATCCAACTCCAAAACTTCTGATACCTTTCTAACCCAAAAATAGTTCGAGAGCCCCAAATTGATTGGGTCTCCTAGATTGATCAACTTCTTATTAGGAGAGAAATTAAGATTGCTGCCCTTCTTAGTGAACTTTGAGAAAAGCTCCTCTCCAAAACCTATTAGGAGAGAAATTAAGATTGCTGCCCTTCTTAGTGAACTTTGAGAAAAGCTCCTCTCCAAAACCTCTTGAAACTTCTTGCTTCCTCGGGACATTTCTTTCCTTTGCTAAAATATATTTCACCATGTCCCAAAAAACTAACCATCCTATTTCCCAAGCCCTGCGGCTATTACAGACCTTTTCCCACCAGTGGAAGGCCAAACAACTAGTTCAACTAGAAACCTTGAGTTATATTTGGATTCTACTCATACCAAACTTAGTACTTGTCTGTCTAAAAAAGGGTGTTTGCAATGGCGACTGCAACAAATTAACTAGCTGGACTTCAAACCAGACTAACTGCGGGAATTTCACAGGCAAAATCTCATTATGTTGCGAGGCTTCCATATAAAACCAATTATCATCAAGCCATAAACAATAATACGAGTTCTCCACACAACAACTATTGATTTTCATGATGAGAATGCTAAGAAAAAGCTCAAATCTGGACTTTTCTAATGCTGGAACACTGTAAACCCCCACGGATTAACTATATTCTTACCAATTGGGACAATGTCACATCTTCTTCACCATGATGTTCCCCATGTAGACTAGTTTCAATGATCTAATTATTGAGGGGGAAAGGAGCCCAATAAGGCTCCTAGTTTAACATAATGGAACCACAGTGACATGAAATGCCATCATAATAGTCAAACCTGGTTCAGTTAGTTTATGTGATTTAAAATGTCTGAAAAAAAATAAACAACTATCCACAGACTTCAATGACAACAATAAGTGAGAGGCTCCATTTATTCTATCTAGAATTCGGGACAATGTGATTAATGTAAGCTTCATCAGATTTTGGCTTCACTGGTCGACTGGAAATACCCCTCTTCATTGTTTGTATCCCAAACCTTAATTTTTCTCCACCCAAAAGCACATGGGAAGAAACTTGGAACCCCTTCCACCCTGACTTGAGCCCTCGGCTTTAGAAGATAGGTTTGGATAATTAATGAAATTCAGGAACAGGTTACCCCTTGGCATCCTCCCTACAATTTATCTCACTGGCAGCCCTGAAGTTGGTTGGTGTCTCAATGGAGCTGGCAACTTCACCATCATATTCCTGTTCCTGGATTTGGTGAGACAACAAGATACATCCACTACATCCACCTTGTACAAAGAAATACAGCATGGTAGACATCCAAGAAAGGTAAATTTCTTCCTTTGGGAGCTCAATTATGAAAGTACTAACACTAAAAAGCTTGTGAAAAGGAGCTTAACCATGGACCTTTCCTCTTCCCACTGTATTCTTTGCAGAGAAAGCTGTGGAGAGATAGACCGTGGCTTCTTCAAATACCCCCTTGCAAACAGGTTTTTGGAGACCCTCTTCACAACTTTCAATAGGCAAGTGACATCCCAAAGAGTGTCAAAGGCTTTAGAATATGTATTGCTTGGTAATCGTTAGGAAAAGAAAAAACAAGACTCTTTGGCTACAAACCTACAATCAATTAGATTTGTTTTTTAGAATGTTTGATTAGAAATAAACAATAGAACCTTCAATGAAGGGGAAAAAAAAAAAAAAGTCCATGATAAATTTCTTCATAATGTAATGCTCCTTCATGGAGAAATTATATCCCTACTTCAACAGTTATTAACTTTTATGATCTTTATACCAATCAGAAGAATTCTTTGTGACCTTATTAGGTTTCTTTGAGGCTTGGCTCTCATCCTCTTTTTTGAAATTTCATACCATGTATGAAATATTAACTTCTGATCAAAATATATATATACAGATGTGAGAGGAATACAAGAAAAAAGCTGGAACAGAAAGCTCCCACCTCTCCCTTGTGCCTTGTGTATCCAATTACTTGCTCGATTGTTGAAACCATTGGGAAATTTATTAATGATTGATGAAATGAAAAAATCTGGCATGAAATCTTCTGCTCAGGAGGAATTCATTTGACAGAGATTTAGAGGAAGGAGGGTATTGTGATCTTGCAATCAGAAGCTGGAATGAACATTGTGATAGATTTAGCTGGGTTTGGTGTTGCTCAAAAGAAGCCACTACCTTACTCCTAGTTCTTTAACTTCTTTCCAGTTGTGGTTTAGAGGAAAAGCATGTAGAAAGGAACAACAGAAATGTCAAAAATGTTAGTGACAGTAAGTTTTTAGAAATTGTACAGTACATGATTTCTAGCTGGAATGCTCTTCATAGAGATTTTCTTTTTTAGCTAAACTACCCGATCTATCTCGATACTTGCAATGGGGATGTTTCCTATAAGCCCTTTGACTGGGGAAATATCAAACGTCCCTAATCTCTTCTTTTCTAATCTTACTTCTTCTGATCCTTCAAAAGCTATTAAACAATGACCGAACAAGTAATCGGAGGAGTTATTAAATAAGAACGTCGATCAAAATTTGCAATCCGATAAAGACAATGTTAATGGGTGGGGGTTAAAAAGGAGCAGAAATGTAATTAGATGATAGAAGAAGAAAGTGACCAAAGTAGCGGCGCTCGTTGGCGGCTTTGGCCTTGTCGAGCATCTTGTCAAGGTCCTCCTGGAGCTTAGCGTCCCATTTGACGAGCTGATTGACGAACACAGCTCCCAATCCCATTCCAATGACGTGCTCCCAAGGATCTGCAAATGGAATAAATGACAGAAATCGATAACAAATGAAGAATTTAGAAAATTAAATCAGGAACGGAGAAAACTAGGGTTCATACGGCGCATGTAAGGGAGTTTACGGAGAGCATTGGAATACATCTGAGTGCCGAGGCCCAGAAGGGCTCCGATCATCGTCGCACTCCACGCCATTGATGTAAACGAATCGTTGTGTTTAGCGCTGAAGGAATCAGAAAGTCCTCCCTCCACTCTGCACTTCAACTCTGCGCTGATGGGATGCGTCCCGTTTCACTCTGCACTTGGCTTTTGCATTAATTCTTTTTTTTTTTTTTCCTTAGTTCTTTTAACTTGAATACATCGATTTTTCTTTTTAATATTATTATTTTAAACTTGGCCTAAATATAACCTGAAAAATAGTTTTCGAATAACAAAATAAGTTTTTTTTAGGTTAAAATATGCTTTTCATCTTGTCCTTTTAGTAAAGTAACAATTTAGTTCTTGAATTTAGTGAAGTAACAATTTAGTTCTTGAATTTTTACTTCTAACGATTTAGTTTAGTCTATGTACTTTCAAATTTGTAACAATTTGGTTCTCAAGTACACAATTTAGTCCCATCGTAAAAAATTTTGTTAAATTTCTTATAAATTTAGATTGATGAATCGATGAAGGACTAAGTGTGTTTACAAATTAAAAAACTAAATCGTTATAAGATAAAAATTGATACTTAATTTTGACAAAAAAAAATTTCGGTAGGGACTAAATTGTAAAAAAAAGTTTAAACTATAAGGACTTAATTATTACATACAAAAGTTTAGGGACTAAACTGTTTTCAATTTAAGAGTATAATGACTAAATTGTTATAAACTAAAATTAGGGACTAAATCGTTACTTTAACTCTTAATCATCTTATTTTTATTTTTCTTTTAGGTATTATGTTTTACTACTTCAAAGTATAGTCTTAGTCCTTATGGATACGACCTTGCTTTTATACTACAACTGATTATTTTGGTGCGCACTTGCACCGGTTTTCATGTAAGTTCTGGACACACAACACTCATATCGACAATGAAACACTTAGAGATCACCTTAAGTAAGGAACATAGTAGAAGCTTCCTCGAGAGAGTTCACCTCGACCAGGAAACAGTTATAGACCACTGATAACTCTCTTTCAATATATTGGACTAAATTGAGTGCAAATGAGAGTCATAGGCATAAAAGCACACTAGAAGGAGGAATTGAGTGAAAAATAAAGAAACCATATATAAAATCAATGTTCTGTTAGATTTCGATAAATGGTAGCTTATCTATATTATTTTTGGGCTGTTCTTATAAAATCTAAAATTATTGGAAGTAAAATAGTTGAGAGTAGAAGAAATTACTACGACTTTCAAAAGCTAGAGTGCCAATGCTGGAGCATCTCGTGCTGCAAACATTTCTGGGCAACACAATAACTTTTAATTTCACGCATAAATTACTCGTGTCTGTACAATTACTACGAGTTGCCCTAAAATCAAGTAGCGATATAAAAGCTCTTTAGGTCCCAGCCGCCATGACAAATCCCAAGGGGGAATGCAGCCCAAGAAGCCGGATTAGGATAGAGGAGGGAACCTTCCATTTTTGGTGCTGAAGCTGACGGAGGGGACATCTTTTCTTTCTGGTTTTCGAGTACACCTGGCGTTTCGTGTGTGGTTTTCGCATTCTTCATCCAAATGGGTTGTTCCTTTCTTTTACCTATTATGTATTCCCTCATCCCCATAAGCTAAACCCCATTTGAGGAGGGATTCCTTGCTATATTATGTGAATAGTAGCATTGTAGTTTGGATTTAAGTTGAGAAATAGAGTTTTTATTCTTCTTTCATCTCTCTGAATTTGTTGGCCCACCATTTTTTGATTGCTTGCTCTTGTATGACTTGTAAGGATATATGAGATGTTAATTGAACTCTATTTATGGTTAGTCTACTCTTTTCGAGTAGGTTGTGAATGCATAGGAATGAGATTCACCTAACTATGTCTAATAAATTGTGTTAATATTCGATTGAAGCAATGAAAGTTGTGAAAATTGTGTTTCGGTATCTCGGTATCTCGGAAGAGAGTCAAGTCCTTTTTAGCATCAACCAAATTTGTTTTTCTAGAATGCGTACGGTGAGTAAGAGAACTGTAGTGTGAAATCTCCCCTATTCCCATTTATCGTTTGCATATCCCCTTGTGTTCGCATCTCTTGTCCCAACATTTCTTTTTGTATTTTAGGCATCATTGCTTTTACTTGGGTTTTATTATTGATTTCTTTATTGTTATATAGTTAATCTGTTCAAATATTATTAGTTTGGTCCGATTGGTATTCTTAGATATATTTTATAGTATTTGCTTAGTCCCTACGAATTTTGACCTTGTTTGTACTCCAATCGAAATATAGTGTATACTTACACTTGGTTTTATGTGATTTTGTGAGCCCGCAACAAAATTTTTGGCGCTATTCAAAAGCCCAGAGGAGGAAATCATACGAGAGAGCTCACCTTGTCATTCAAATACTTAGAAAGCATCCTAAGTGAAGCCCAAAGGACGAGCTCTCGTGAGAGAGCTTATCTCAGCATCAAAATACTTAATAACCACCCTTAGTAAACCTCAAAGATGAACTTACATAAGAGAGCTCACATCTAAATACTTAGTGACCACCTTAAGTGAAGTCCAAAGGACTCTCATGAGAAAGCTCAACCTAGACCCCTTACGTTAAGTAGGTCGAACTCCTAGTAAATCATCACATATCACCGCCAATAATATTGCAAGTATTTAATAGGGGCAACTGCAAGAATGTCTAAAATAAATTAGTCGTTTTAAAAGATGGTCAAAAGTATTATTTATTATAAAAATGGCTAACTACATATTTTCCTACAATCCTAAAATTTATTTTGGACAACCCTTGAAACAAAATATAAACAAATTCTTGATTTTATGAATTTTTTCTCAACAACAAATGTAGCCAACAAACATGCACCATAATCGGGAAATCAAGTTACAAATCAAAATTAAACAAACTAAAGATTACGAAGTAGCTATTTCAAAATAATATCAATAAATAAAATTTAACATTTGAGATATCGGAAAAACACAAAAAGCACATTACGATCATGATGATGATGAGGATGATGCTGGAAACTTCATGAAATAACAATTTTTTTTAATAATATGTAAAATAGTGAAATAAATATTTTTTAGGGTAAGAAGTTGTTAATGTAGTTTAATAAATTTATACCATTTCCAAAAAAAAAAAGTAATTGAATTTGAGGGATAAGAAAATCACTAAAAATCACTTTGTGGATAGAAGACGTTGATAAGCTGAAAAATGATTTGTAAGTAGGGAAGAAGTTGTTTCCATCACGAAGGTACTCACATTTACAAATCAATGCATGTATGAAGACCAACCTTCTTAGAACATTATGGTATTTGTTTTCTATCCGTAGAACGGGCCCTATGTTCTCGTTTAAAAATTTATTTAAATGATGGTTCATTTATAATAAAACGTTTTTTTTAATATCCTAACCAATTTCCCTTATTTTTTGCAAATTTTGTTAGAGATGTCTCTATAGAAACATCTACGACTTACTATATCAAAATATCAATGTTTTATATTATTTGGCTTTTATAAATTATTGTTTTCAAATACACCCTAATTAGTACTATTGTAGGCCTAAAAGTTAGGGTTTAATGGTTGCTATGTTAAAAATAACTAGTAAGAAACACGTGCGGTGCACGTGAAATTTCATAGTTTTTATTTCAATGTTTAAAAATATAAAATTTAATTAAATAGTTAAAATTTATAATATAATTTGGTTTTTTAATCTTTAAATATTTACCTCACCAAGTTTTTTCGTATTTTCAATGTTTATCTCATAAAACAACGTTTCAATAATTCTCATCACCCAATGATGTGGTTAGTGTGACTAAAAGTATTATTCTTCAATTACTTAAATTTTTTTCTAAAAAAAACACATATTCATGGATTTTTCATCTTTTTTTCCCTAAACATAACAATACATAAAAGTAAATATAACTTTGTTTCAATTTATTATTTGAGTCATTGAAAAATAAAATGACAAAAAAAAAGTGAGAGATAGAGATGCGTTCAGGGCAGCCATTCTTTGCCATGTTTGAGTTTCGGTCCAATTCCTTGCCCTGGCTCGCCGGGAATGCCAACCGCAGCCATGTTCCGATGGATTGCTCCGGCTATTTTCATCACACGATGATAACCTTACCAAGGAAGGAGGTCACTGAGAGAGTCCTCACAGTTACCAAGTGTCATCCCAAGGTGAATCCGTCCAAGGTGATTCGATCTTATCACTAATTTTCACTCTTCTTTTTCCAGTTGATTGAGTCGTTTGGAAAAAAAACTAAAAACGTTGAATAGTCGATCAAACAATCTAACTAAATATAAGAAAATACAAGACATTGACTAAAGGAGAAAATTTACATATTGAAACAGAAAAGAAACTCAAATTCTGATGAAAAAAATGTTGGGAGAAAGAGTAAGAAAAAACTTTTTATATAGTTGTAGAAAATAAAAAGTTACGAAACTTTTAAAATTCCTTATTAATTATAATTCAAAATAAGTTATAACTTTTTAACATAGAAATAAAGAGACAAAACCCTCCATATTATAACTCTTTATATTATAACCTTGATAGTTTATTAGAAAGAGAAAATTAATTTGAGAAATGTAAAATTTGTAACAATGGAGATTAAATATTTTAAAAGAAATGAAAAAAAAAAGGGAAAATGGGGTGGGAGGGAGAGAAATGGGGGAGTGAGAGAGAAGATTTTATATTTGAAAGACAAAATTGCCGTCAAAGTATTATGGGAATGTTGAAATTAAAAGGGCAAAATGGGGAGAAAAAGTTTCTCCCCATAACCTCTTTAATATATACTAGCAATAATCACGTGTAATGCACGTGGAATTAAATGTTTGTTTTTCAAATATATTAAAAATGATGTTAAAAAAACTAAAATGTAAATTTACGAAAATTTAAAAGGCAAAATAAGAAACATACATTCTCCCCCATAGATACATCTCTACCATTTGATTGTGATGTTTCATATCGTAGTCTGGATCACACCATATGTGGATGATAACACTTTTATTTATATAACCACATCCAATGGATTAACTTCTCTCAATGAACATATTTACCTGAATAATTTTCTCTTTTCAATAAATTTTTGAAAATTTAAATGGCAAAATAGGAAAACAAAAACCCTTATAATATGAAAACTAATACAATAATCTAATATGTAAATAATTAATTTAACAAATCAAGTAATAAAT